ACCGATGGGGTACCATGCTTTGGCCCCCGAGTCTGTCCTTTGTACTCCCTCGGGTGCTCTGCCACACGCTTTTGTGGTTTGCCTTGGTGTCTCAGAGTCAGTCCCGACACTTGACTCTCCAGTGTTGTCCCCCTTAAGAGCCCGGGGCCATCAAGGGATGGCGTGTCTTGTGGTAGGATCAGCCATATTGTCCAGTCTCTCCGTTGGCTGTTCAGAGCGGGGATGTCGTCCTCCAGGCCTGGTGGGTCAGGATGTGCTCTACTCTTCCTCCCAAGTGCTCCCATTTGCTCTGATCAGACATGCCCCTCTCCCCTAGATGCAGCTTCATTGCCATCCTCTCAAGTAGATTCTTCTGGGGGGAGGGGCAGTTGTCCACATAGCTGGCATGGGGCCAAGCCCTCAGCCCCCCTCCACTGGCTCCCCACTCCTTGCCAACAAGCTGCATTTGACAGACACCGATTTTTAAAAAGTTAAACAATACATAGGATTGAAGCAGGTGCAAGTAGCATGTTGTGAAAAAAATACCACGTGAAAAAGCCAGGACTTGAGAGAGGGTATGATTCTGAAAAATGTATGAGGAAAGATTGGTTCTAGACCTATATCTGTTTTCACCCCACCTCACGGGGTAATGTAGTCCAAGCCTAAGTAGCGTGGGCCTGAACAAAGAAGCATCTTAGAGCAGGTAGAAGACAGTTTGCTCTAGGTGCTCCAGGGCAAGAAGTTGTCGTCCTCTAGTGTGTAGACAAAGAAGGAAGTAGGTAAAGATTTGAACCTTTATTTCAATGAAGGAAGTAATGCTGTGGCAGTGGGAAGCCACGTGTTTATTTCCTCTTCTGTTAAGGGTTCTTAGCTTATACAGAAACCTTGCATCTGAAGAGTGGCAGCTTTCCGCCACAGAAATTCCCTTCTCGTAGTCTCTCAAGCTGTTCAACTCAGTGGCCTAAGAGGGCTGCCATCAGTTGTCATTGGAAGTAGAGAGTCTCCTCAGGAGTTAATTTCACACCCCACATAGGCCCTCAGAGTGTAAACAGAATTAATCATCCTAGTCTCGTCTTGAGTTTGTCGCCACTATTTTCAAGCCTAAGGGAGAGCTGGTGACGTGGTTCAGGAGAAAGACCAGGCTTTCTACTCCCATCAGTAGTTACAGCCTTGGAAACTCACAGGGGCAGTTCCACCCTGTCCAAAGGGGTTGATGTGAGTTGGCATCGAGACAATGGCAGGAAGGTGAGACATTTTGAAGGCTAGTACAGTAAGTATTGGAAGTAGTAATTTAACCTACCCATCATACCTGCTGCCTCTTGTCATCTTCCTGCATCTTTATGATCTAAAGTGTTTGTGTCATGAGACTGCTTCCTTTTCTTTTTAAAAACTGGAGTCTGATTTTCCAGAACAAAATAGGGAAATCCTGGAACACTGTTTTCTGGACTTTGTGTTTGTTTTTGTGTTTTAAAAACAACTCACTGTCATCCACTCGGTGCCAACTCATAATGACCCTAGAGGACGGTAAAACCTGTGGATTTCCGAGACTGTTAACTGTTTACAGGAGTAGAAAGTCCCATCTTTCTCTCAAGGAGCGGCTGGTGGTTTTGGACTGTTGACCTTGCAGATCACAGCCCAATGCACAACCACTATGCCTTTGGACTTTGTGACTTTTGGCAAATGATTTGCTCACCTATGCCTTTGTTTTCCCATTTGAAGTGAAGTGTAGTAGTCAGTACTGAGAAAGTACCTGATCACATGTGAAAAAAATATTTCATGTCGGCAACAATATCTTTCTTACTCAAAAGTACCAGTTGTGATCGAAGGAGTCCAAAGTCTTTTCTAGTACTTTCACCATCCCCCTGGAGCACCCTCACGATGAAAGCAAGGAACGGCATTTAAACAACTAAAACTCCCTCTGAATAATATGTACAGATTACAGGGGAGGAAGAATTCATGTTGCATTCGTTAGTAAATTGGATTTTTGTTGGAATTGGACCACTAATGAAATTATATTAAATGTGTTCAGTAGGAAAAGTATACCCATACTACTTATATAGGGTTATTTTAAAATAACCTGTCAGTAGAAACTGTTTCTCTTGTGCCCCGCTGCAAGGGAGCTAGTAGATCAAAATATTCATCAGCATTTTACTGAGTGTTTACAAATGCTGGAAAGCCAAGTCATTTCCAAGCTAGCTGACTTGGATCGATTGTATTTGAAACTGCTAATGAGGCAGTAGGCCTTCATGTGTGAATTTCCCTAATACTCTCAACTGGGGGCAATCATTTAACTGCCCTAAATTTGCTTAGGCCCAATGCACAAAGGAATAATAGCAAGGATAGCCAACCTGTGTTTTGTTCATTCATTCATAATAAGATCATTACAAAAATTGTTTTTTACTTTAAAAATGTAATACACTATACAGCATTTGGACATGGTCAGTTTTTCACTGTCTTTAAAGGAAGTACAGCCACTGCCATCGAGTCAATTCCAACTCATGGTGATCCTATTGTGAGACCGTCTTTAAAGCAGCACCCAGCTTCATCTTTCCCCAGCAGAGCAGCTGGTGGCTTCCAGTAGCCAGTTTTGCAGTTAGCAGCCAATACTAACTGGCTCGTGTCACCAACCATCCATCCAACCAACCACTGCTATTTAGTTGATTTCAGCTCATAGTGACCCTATTCTAAGTTCCTGAGACTAAATATTTATGGGAGCAGATAACCTCGAATGTCTCCCCAGGAGCAACTGGTGTGTTTGACTCGCCTACCTTCTGATTAGCAGTCCAGTGCTTATTGGCCAGTACCACCAGGGCTCCTTAAAGAAGTGGAGGTAGTATGACCTTACTTGGAAGTTGGTGCGGTGGTTCAGGATGTTGTCTTTGTTGTTACGTGTCCTTGACTCAGCTCCCACTCATCGCAACCCTGTGTGCAACAGAACAAAACACTGCTCGGCCCTGCACCATCCTCACAATTGTTAGGTTTGAGGTCATTACTGCAGCCACTGTGCCATCCATCTCATTGAGACTTCCTCTTTTTCCACTGACCACCTATATTACCAAGCAGGATGTTCTTTTGCAAGGACTGGTCTCTTCTGACCACAGGTCCAAGATAGGTGAGAACAAGATTCATCATCATTTCTTTTTTTTCATCCTCAGTTCTAAGGGGCATGCTGACTTCTTGCAGAAAGATCTGTTTCTCTGCCATTCTATGTTACTTTGGATATTCTTTGCCAACACTATAATTCAGGATGGCTAGGTACGTTTTCTTGCCCGGAAGACACACTCGGATTGCCTACAGAATCAGACAGCAAAGCTCAATTGGGTGGGGTGGGGAGTGGAGGTAGGTGTCAGGCTTGTCAGGCCTACGACTGACGAGTGCTGGAAACTGTGAAGAACCTTACGCGTTGTTCACTCAGGTGTTGCCATGCAGGCATTTACACCGAGGGTTAGCAGATTGTCTTTTTAAAGAGAAACTAGAAATCTGGATTGTTATGGGGAAAAGAGTTGACTATCGAGGATTATGAGAATCCAATGTAGGTAAGAGCTCTTAAGTATTGAGAAGAGGGTTTTGAGGTTATGGTTAGAAAGGTTGATAGAGACCAAATTGTGGAAATTTTTGAATGTGGAGCTAAGATTTTATTCTATAGGAAGTGGCAACGTATGGCCAAAGGATTTTTGAGTAAGGATTGATGTAGTTGGAGTAATGCTTTAGAGAGAGCAGTCATACACCAGTGCCGTGGTGTAACTGGGAGCGAAATGAGGTGGCAAGCTGGGATAGTGACAGTGAAGAGATGCTGTAACAGACAGGTAAAATCTGCAGATGGTGACCTGTTGAGATTTAATTCATTGCAGGGAATAAGTCAGATTGATTCTGTTATCTTAAATCTGGGTAACTGAGAAGATAACAGGATGAGTACTAAGAAGCAGTATTTGTAGAGAAAATTAGTTTGGTTTTGTGCCTTCTGTGATTACCTTGGGAGGGGGAAAGGATTAAAGTTAATAAGGTGGGATTGTGTGTTAAGTGCTAAAAGAAAAACATTTGGTGCTATGAAGGCAAATAATGGGGCAAGAGGGTTTGTGACTAGGGAGGATGGGAACACTTCTCTGGGAGAGGGC